GGGGGAGATTGTGCGTGTGGAGATTGTGAATGAGTGTGCATGCATGTAGACTGCATGGGGAGATTGTGCGTGTGGAGATTGTGAACGAGCGTGCATACATGTAGACTGCATGGGGGGAGATTGTGTGTGTGGAGATTGTGAATGAGTGTGCATGCATGTAGACTGCATGGGGGGAGATTGTGCGTGTGGAGATTGTGAATGAGTGTGCATGCATGTAGACTGCATGGGGGGAGATTGTGCATGTGGAGATTGTGAACGAGCGTGCATGCATGTAGACTGCATGGGGGAGATTGTGAGTGTGGAGATTGTGAGCGAGTGTGCATGCATGTAGACTGCATGGGGGGAGATTGTGCGTGTGGAGATTGTGAACGTGCGTGCATGTATGTAGACTGCATGGGGAGATTGTGCGTGTGGAGATTGTGAGCGAGTGTGCATGCATGTAGACTGCATGGGGGAGATTGTGCGTGTGGAGATTGTGAGCGAGTGTGCATGCATGTGTACTAGGCTCGTTCCTCGCCACGTTCCGGTGCACAACTGAGAACGACCACGAACCGAGGCATACTGCCAAAAGGACTAGAAGGGTTCGGGTGTATTTTTCAATTCTGGAGCACGCATGTATTTTTATATACAAAAAAACATGGACCCTAAAAACTGATGAATGGACCTCAAAGTTTAACGCTTGTACTGATCAAAAAAGTATGAAGAAAATAGACAGTGAAGAAACAGTCACAGTGTCAATACTGACAAAGGACATGTACCCTGCAATTCAGGAATAAAAGGACAAACAGCCTGACCCCAAAATGGGCAGAAGGAATTCGTATGTATTTCCCAAAAGAAGATAAACACTATGAGGCACATGAGCAAACACTCATCCAATATCATTTGTCATGAGGAAAAGTACATTCAAGCCTTGGTTCCTGTTACCATCCAAACAGATCAGGCTGGGCATTCTTCTATTTTTTTATTTTATTTTTTTCTTATCACAATAAGCAATTTTTGTTTAATATTTTAGAAGACTTGTACACTTACAATCATGGATACACTTAAGACACCATGAGATTAACAATGATGTTACCATATACATGTGGAAACCTTTGTTTCTAAATTTAGTTGTTGGGGCCGGGGAGATGGCTCAGGAGGATAAGCGCTTGACTGGCAAATGCTAGGATCTGAGTTCAATCCCCGGTTCCGCCAAAAAAAATAAATAAATAAATTTAGTTGTATACCAAAACTTTTTTTTTTTTTTTTTGCAGAACCGGGGATTGAACTCAGATCCTTGTGTTTGCCAGTCAAACACTTATCTTACTGAGCCATCTCCCCGGCCCCTCCAACACCATTTTTAAGAGAAAACCCAATTGTAATTTTTGTGAAAGACTTTTATCTTTAAATCAGTGACCAGTTTATTGAGGGTGTCTCCTAAGAGACTATTTTGAGATAATTGGGAGCTCCTCATTAACGAAAAAAAGGTTGGTCACACCTCTTATTCATCAATAAGACTCCTCTCTGAATAATTTTTCTTCGCTCTATCAAATTTTTGCCTAATTAAACTTTTTGATAAACTGTGCATAAGCTGATTTTGCTATGACTTAGACCAGCTGGTAGCTTAAGAAGAAGCATGCTTGGGCGGGGAGATGGCTCAGTACAATAAGCACTCGCCTGGCAAGCGCAAGGCTCTGAGTTCAACCCCCAGTTCTGCCAAAAAAACAAACAAAAAATAAGAATGCTAAATAAAATATTTGAAAGGGCTGGAGAGATGGCTCAGTGGTCTAAAGCGCCTACTTGGAACAAGCTTGGCAAAGCACAGGGACCGCGGTTCGATCCCCCAGCCCCACATGCCAGCCAGCCCCGCCCCCTGGTGGGCTGAGCTGGCCACACACACACACCACACACTCTCTCTCTCTCTCTCTCTCAAATAAATAAAAAAAAAAAAAAAAACAGTATTCCACTGGGATGGCCACAAAGGCCAGGACATGTTAGGGCACTGCGGAAAGGACCCGCCGCACAACTCCTAGACCACCTGCCCACGTGCCCAGCGCTCTGACTATGTCCTGGCCTTTGCTGCTCCCGAAATGTGCCGCAACAGGAGAAATCTCCAATTGGGAGGAATGCTTGTCTTTGGTTCTTCTAGAACATCCAAATAAAAAGAAATTTTCCACCTTCTCTCCATCTACAATAAAGAGTTGATCATAAACCTGTTTTGAAAAAAGAGGAAGAATTCTTATGAACCAGTCCCATTTATGAATATTGATATAAAAATATGAACAACTTTCTCTAGTTAGCCATTTTGCAGGGGACACCAAGTGAATACTATCCACAATCAGGTAGAATATATTCTAAAATGGCTTAATGTTTGGAAACATATTGTTTACTCTTTGAAAGTCTATTAATCTCACTGTAAATAAAGCAATTTATTAACAGGATAAAAGCAATATATTATATCCAAAGATGCTATAAGGCACCCGCACATTATTTTCTAAAATAAGTGCCAAAAAACAAAAATGAAAGTCAAAGGGGCCGGGGAGATGGCTCAGTAAAATAAGCGCTTCCCTGGCAAGGGCAAGGGCCTGAGCTCAATCCCCGGTTCTGGAAAAAAAAGATAAAAGTCAAAAAAGTTGAACAACAGTTAATCATACAGCTCAAACCCACTCCTAGGCACCTGCCCAGAAGAAATAAAAAATATGTCCCCATGAAGATAACAATATGTAACAACCATTGTTAACTTCCTGTTCTTGTTTTGAAACTCTGTATCATTTCTATTGTCTTGTGCTTTGTATTTGTCTTTGTTCTTGTTATTTGGTTTTGTTTCTTTGCTCTTCAAAAGAATAAAAATATGTCCCCATAAAAACTCGCCTATGGGGGCTGGAGAGATGGCTCAGTGGTCTAAGGCACCTACTTAGAACAAGCTTGGCAAAGCATCAGGGACCGCGGTTCAATCCCCCAGCACCACATGCCAGCCAGCCCCGCCCCCTGGTGGGCTGAGCTGGCCACACACACACACCACTCTCTCTCTCTCTCTCTCTCTCTCTCTCTCTCTCTCAAATAAATAAAAATAAAAAATAAAACTCGCCTATGAGCGAAGCGCCTTCGCCTGCAGGGATCGAACGTGTCAGGCAAGCAGTTGGTCCCAAAACACCACGCACTGCCCGGTGCCATTTATGTGCAAAGCCCAGCACAGGCCGTTCTGGAGAAGAGCTGACGCTCAGCGGTGGCTGAGGCTGGCCGGGCTATCAGGCATTTTCAATATGATGATTTTCAAGAAGGTAAAAGTGTCCTAAAATGTGATTATGATGACAGTTATAAAACTATGAACATTTTTTAAAATTGAAATGCACCCTATCAATGAATGAATATTATGGTTAATAAGTTATCTCTCAATAAAATTGTTCTTTTAATAAATAATGCTGGCCGAGGATGCAGCTCAGTGGCATAGTGCCTGCCTAGAGAGTGTGAGGTCATGAGTTCGATTCCGGGTACCAGAAAAAAAAGAAAGAAAGAAAGAACAGGTTTATGCCAGGCATTGTGGTGCACATTTATGGTCTCAGCTCTCAGGACTGAGGCAGAAAGACTGCCATGAGTTTGAGACCAGCCCAGATCACATAGTTTAAGCCTGACTACATAGCAAGATCCTGTCTTTAAAAAAAAAGACAGAGATTGTCAAACAGATGAAAGGGCAAGACTTATCTACATGCTTTCTAGAAGAAACTCACCTGCGCAGCAGGATGGGTCCTGGGATTCACCCCCCAGCACTCAAAAAGAAAAAAAGAGGGGCCAGGAAGATAGCTCAGCGCTCTAAACGCCTGCCTGGCAAGCACAAGGACCTGGGTCCAACCCTGGATACTGCGTGTGGTGCTGAGCAGGCTACCGGGCCTGGCTGTGCTGGCTCACACCTGTATTCCAGTGCCAGGGAAGCTGAAACAGGAGGATCACTATGAGTCCGAGCTGCGTAGTGAGACCCTGTACCAAATACATAAATCAAAAGAAAAAAGATTAAATTATAAGTTCAGTAGGAAAATTGAAAGACCTATTGGAGGCTTAGAAATGCCAGGGTGAAGGGCCGGCCAAATAGCTCAGGGGATTAAAGCGCCTGCAAGCAGGCACAGGGGCCAGGGCTTTGCCTGCCGTGCCACCCTCCCCCCAGCCCCGTTGTGATGAGACGGCAATTGAGACTGGGCGTGGTGGTGGGCACCTGTAATCCCAGCTCTTGGGAGGCTGTAAACAGGAAGATCACTATGAGTCCAGTCTAGTAGTGAGACCCCGAGCATCCTGTAGCCCTTCCCTAAAATACAAAAGAAAGAAAGAAATGCTAAGATGAGAGGGAAACATTGCCCAAGAGAAATTGTTCCTTTTAAGTCTCTGCTCTTTTGAAACTACCCAGCTCTAACTGCTTCATGGCTTCATGACTACTTTCTTGACCCCTGCAGCCACGAGAGCGTAAGGAGACGTGCAGGATGCGTGACCGTACGTCGTACCAAGCTTATTAGGGTGACGCCCCTCCATCTACCCCTGTGACTGGTGACCCCACCCGACCAGCTCACGAGAACTGGGGCTGTCTGCCTTGCCTTTGTACTTCCCCTTGTGCATCATAGAAAGGCCCTACACCACCAGAGACCTGGACCTGCTGTCCTGGGTGACCCTAACCCGTGACCTTGCTGCAAATAGATCTGCTCGAATCCTGGGTGCTGTTTCAGTGCTTCTGCTGAATGACTTGCAAGCAGCCAGGCCTGTCCGGCATCAGGGACCTCAGAGACGCCCCGGCCCCGCCACCAGCCACTCTTATCACAGTTGGCTTCCTATGTCGGAGCGGGGAGCGTCTGCAGTGACCCACTCTGCAAGCCTCCTGGGGCTCCCTCTAGCTGATGTCTGTCACCCGGAAATGTCCTGTCTCTGGCAGCCCAGATGGGGACAGCTCTATCAGGTCGGAGCCACTTGAGAGTCAGTCCAAGGCCAGGATGTGAGGACACTGAGTGACAGGAAGTGTGCTGAGAGTCCGCAGGGGCCTGGTTTGTTTGTAAATTGCTCGTTTCCCACAGCACAGCACTCTGGGTCCCAGCCGAGGACGATAAAAACATCTGGCTCCTTGCCTGGGCACCAGGCTCCCTGCTCACCCGTCTCAGTGGTGGAAACTTCCATCCCAAGAACAGTGCTGTCCCTGCAGCTGAGCTTTCGTGTGCTCCCTACTCCTGGCCTAGGACTCCACCTGCTCTGTGAGCTCATTGTTGTTTACCTTTAAATAAGCCTTATAGGGCTGGGGAGATAGCTCAGTGGTCCAAGCACCTGCCTGGCAAGCGCAAGGACCTGGGTTCAATTCCCGGTACTACGTGCCGTGCAGGCCCGGGAAGTCCTGCTGGCCCTAAAACCAGGCATGGTGGTGCACACCTGTAATCTCAGCACTGGGGAGGCTGAGACAGGAGGATCACTATGAGTCTGAACTGCATAGTGAGACCCTGTACCAAATAAATAAATAGAAAAAAATAAATAAGCCTTATATTTCAGAATGATTTTTCTTTCTTTCTTTTTGAGACAGGGTCTCACTATGCAGTTCAGGCTGGCCTTGAACTCACTTTGTAGCCCAGGCCGGTCTCAAACTCATAACAGTCCTGCTTCAGCCTCCAGAGTGCAGGGATTATAGGCATGTACCCCTATAACCAGCTTAAAATAATTTTCCATTCACAGAAATAGAAATAGTGCAGGGGCACCAGGGGAGCTCACCAGAGCCACGCGCCGTCACAGCTGAGAGGTGGAGGATGCCTGGTGCTGGCTGTGAGCTCTGAGCCTCTTCAGGACCTGACTGGTTGCCCACTAACACCTTTCTCTATCCAGGGCCACACTGTAGGATGCCACCTAGGATGCGTTTAGTGTCGGGTTTTTGAGATTTTCTGAATACCTAGTCACCCATGCCTCTTGTCCACAGGAAGTGGGTTCCAGGACTGGGGCACCATGCAGAGTCCCCTAGGTATTGGGGCTCCATGGAGGACATGGTGCCAGCCGAATTCGAGTGCTGTTCTTTGGAATTTTTTTGTTTGTTTGTTTGTTTTTGCTGGCTCAGGATGCCTTAAGGGCCGGTCTGGAGATCAAACCATGGTCCCCTGCACCTGAATGGGTTTGCCAGAGCAGGCTCTTAAACAGCTGAGCTAACCCACAAGCCCCCTGTTCTTTGGAATTGTGGAACTCCTTCTCCAACTCCCGAATCTGCAGCCCAGAGTCAGGCTGCGTGTCCCACCAGCTCCAGAGACTGGATGCTGACCACTCTCCTGAAAGGACACGCCTGCTCACAACTGCACTTCTTCTAAATCTAGGTGTAACACCCAGGCTCTCCCGGGGAGAAAGTAACAGGAGAGCAACTTAGTACCCGCTAACAGACTTCAAAATGCGAGCATTCAGATTCCATGACACTGAAAAGCAGACCCACGTGCCAGATGCTGGTCCCTGCTCTTGAGTGTATTGCCTTTTGGAAAAACAGAAGCTGGACATAGAGGCCCTCGGCTGTAACTCCAGCACTGGAGAGGTGGAGGCCGGAGGATCACAGTGAGTTCCCAGCCAGCCTGGGCTAGTATTGAGCTGAAAAGGAACTAGAACCATGGCCAATGGGTAAGGTCTGCGTGACTAAGGTTTGGTTGTTTTGTTCTGCTTTTTCCACTTGGTGGGCATGGCCTGTGGGGGTGCAGCGAGAGTGGGTAGGGTCTCAGGAGACCCTGTCTCAAAAATTTAAAAAAATTAAGAGAGGAAGAAAAAGTTGAGGAGGGACCGGGGAGATAGCTCAGTAGAATAAGTGCTTACCTGGCAAGCACAACGCCTTGAGTTCAATCCCCGGTTCCGGGGGAAAAAAAAAAAAAGAAAAAGTTGAGGGCCAGAGATATAGCTCAACAGGACAAGCACCTGCCTGGCAAGAGCAGGGTCCTGAATTCTATTACCAGTATAAAAAAAGAAAGAAAGAAAGAAAGAAAGAGGAAAAAAGAAAGAAAGAAGAGAAATATATGATTACATATTCGGTGTAAGGGCTAAACAGCAGTTACCTTCTAAAATGCGAGAATAAATACTATTTTACTTCATTTTTTTTTAACTGGAAACATCTGACACTTTCTAGTCTGTGCACACACAAGCCAGAACTCCAGGTCATGCGACGGGCCCCGTGGCGCGATGTCCCTGCCCCTTCAAGGACAGCGTTGGCCACTGAGCACTGGGAAGCCACAGGGCGGCCACATGAAGGGCGGCAGGTCAGAGCCCCTCCGGGTCTGCGGTCACCACCTTGAGGACAGCGTCGGGTGCGGAGGGGAGGAGACCCTTCCCGGCCGCGCATTACGGTCCTCGCTCTCGCGGTCCTCCCTCCTTCCCTCCCTCCCTCCCTCCCAAGTCCGCCGATGTGCGCGCTGCGCATCAAGCCAAAGCAGGGGCACAGTCCTTTTGGACCCGCGCGCCGGCCTCCGCGGCACCGCCCGCTCCTCCTGAGCGCCCTCCGGTGGCCGAGTGCTCGGCGCCCCGGGACGGCGGGCCGGGGGCTCCAGTCTCCGGGACGGCGCCCTGGCAATCGCCCCAGACCTGCCGATGAAGCGCTTGCGCTGGACGGCCCCTAAGAGCGACGCACCGCGCAGGGTCCCCCGGCCGGCCGAGGATGGGGGCCGCCCAGGAGGGGGCCACGGCCCAGCCCGCCCACCGCGCCCGCCCGCCCGGGACCTCGCCTAGCCCGCCGGCTCGGCTCCCGCCCGCCCAGCCCACGCAGGCCCGTCCCACCCCTGGGTACCGCCCACCGGAACTTTGACCTCGGGGACCCCCGCCCCGCCCCCACGGAGAGCGGGAACCCCAGCCGGCCTCGCCGTCCTCCGCCGCCATGCGCGCGCTGGTGCTGCTGTGGGTCTGCCTGGCGCTCCGGGGTGAGCCGGGTCGGGGTCGGGGGTGGGCTCGGCCGGCCGCCGCGGGGTGCGAGGAAGAGCCCCCCCGTGTCTGCGGGCTGCGATGGCCCCGGGGCTCGATTCCTACCTTGGATCTGAGAGCCCCGCGCAGAGTGCAGACAGGAGCCTGGCTGGCGGGTGTCCTGCCCGGGAGGCGGAGGTGACATCCCCCCTGCCCGCCCCTCGCGGGGTCTCTGCGCAGCCCGCTTCTCTCTTGCTTTTAACGCCTGAATCAGGCCACACGGGACGACCGGGGCCCCTCGGTGTAGTGCGACTGGAGCCCACCTCTGTGCAGCGGGGGAGCACCCGCAGCCCTGCCTGGGGCCCTGGGCGGCGGGCGGGTCCTGGGCCTGGGGGCTGATGCGGAGCCTTCCTTCCTGCCCTGGCCTTGACCTTAGCTCGCTTGTGCCGTGTTTCAGCTTCTGCCAGCTTCCTGACCTGCCCCAAGGAGATGAGTGGGTTCGAGGGCGACTCCGTGACCCTGCGGTGCACGTACGGGAGGGAGCTCCGCGCGCACACCAAGTACTGGTGCAAGGAGGTCGGACTCTTCATTTCCCGCTGCTCCAGCAAAATCTTCGTGGGAGAGAACCGCCCGGAGGCCACGGAGGGCCGCGTGTCCATCCGGGACGACCCCCAAGAACTGGCGCTCACGGTGACCCTCAGGGACCTCGTGAAGAAGGATGCCGGGGAGTACTGGTGCGGGGTCCAGAAGCTGGGCCGGGATGAGGAGTTCCGGGTTTCCCTGACTGTCTTCCCAGGTAACCAATGTCCCCTTGCACAGCAGGCCACAGGTGCTGGATGATGGTGCTGGGGTCGCTGCTCTGGAGGCGGCCTTGCTGGTTGCTGCCTCATGAGCCCCTCGGGACTACTGCAGTCACTGGGGTCCCTGCTGGGCAGCGAGGGGGCATAGATAGTGCCCTGTGAGCCTTTGCAGGGTTTGGGCTGGCAGATGCTGAGCAGGAGGGAGCCCCTGCCAGGCCGTGCCCAGGTGTGCCTGAGACAACGTGCCAGGTCTTGGGGACAAGACAGGCATCCCAGACATTAAGGACAACTTGGAGTCAAGGGTGCTTCTGCAGCAACCGGAGGGTGGGCCAGCCACAGTGTCGCTGGGGCCCCTGCCCTGGCTGCCCTTCCCCCATCTGGAAGCCCAGGGCCCGGAACCCAGTGCATCCAGGGCTAGGAACATGAGGCTCTCGGGGGCCTAGAAGCCAGAGAGTATCCGGGCAGCGGTGGCTCTGCCTGAGGTCAGGGCCTGTCTCACAGTTGGGAAACTGAGGCACGGGACTCATTTGCTCAGGGTCCGGGGGCAGGAAGTGACCGCTGAGACTTGCCCTCAGGGTGTTGCTGGTGCTGTTCTTCTTCCTTCCCCTCCTGGCTGGGTGGGTGATGCCCATCCTGTGCCTACCCAGCCTGAGCACCAGGTCTGTCCCCCATGAGGCTGTATTTTAATTCGAGGAAGTAGAGTTAAACTCACGCTCAATCCGGCCTCTGTTTTCTCAGCATTTTTTCGGTCATGGTTTTTCCCTAGTTGTGAGCAATTCTGCCTCTTTCTTTTTTTTTGCGGAACCAGGGATTGAACTTAGGCCCTTGTGCTTGCCAGGGAAGCACTTATTCCACTGAGCCATGTCCCCAGCCCCAATTCTGCCTCTTTCTGAGCATCTCCATTTTGCTCTAACCCAAGTTTACTATGTGTGTGGTCACACCTTGTTGCCCTGATACAGGGACGTGAAATTCCCAACCTGGCCTGAATGATTTCTTTT